GCTGACTGGGTCTGCTGACGTAGCTGCTGACGTGGCGCACACGTTTTTTTTTTTTCCATCAATTTTTCGGGCGCTACAGAGGCAATAATATAACCAATATCATAATCTCATATTCAATTAGTCAGAATAACAATTTCTCTTTTATCTGCCTACTGGTATTCATGGGGGTCCATAGAGATATCTCTACTACCAGTGAACTTTTATTCAACATTTTCAACTAACCAGCCGTCCCCATACTCCGTCCGATATGAATGCCAAAAATATCATCTCTCATACTCCGTCCGGTATGAAGTTGAAACGGGTCGTCTCCATATCTCGTCCGGTATGAGTGTCAAAGTTCCAATCATTGATACTTCGTCTGGTATGAGACAACGTTCACAGTAGGGTTTCCTATGTACCCGGTCCGTCCACCATCTCCTAGGATATCCAGTAAGACTATCATTCATTCACTCACTTAATCAAACAGTTTTCCATTTACATTTAATTTTCAGTTTCACAATTTAACTATAAATCACACAAAATAAGCAATACATACATTAAGGAAGCACAACTAAATTATCATACCAACTCCAGTGTAATATTATGCATTTGAAATAGTAAAATCAATCAAGCAGGATCAACAGTGAATAATAACTGGTTCTGTCTCTATTAGTAATTTACGATTAATTATCAAGATCTTTTAAATTATACAAAATACCACATTATTTATAATTAAATTTTAATTCCACAATAAGGAATATAGTGAGGGATTCTTATTCGAATCGGTATCTGAAATGCTAAACTTCCAGTTGCATCTACTAGTGATCATCGGATTTTCTAAATTTTTATTCAGAGATTAAAACACACTTCGAATATCTAGAAATACCATAAAAAACCTAAAATCGGTGTTAAAAACTCTTTCTGGCCAATTTCGAAATTCTGGCACGGCGGCACCGCCGCTTACAGCGGCAGTTTACCTTGGGTTGGTCGTTTTTTACCAGTTTTGATCGGTTTTGTACTCATCCATGCGAAAAAACACACTAAGGGACCTCGGTTGATAGAAAAAAGTTGAAAAACAGAAGCTTACCAGCAGCGGGCTTTTTTGGTGCGGCAGTTCTGCCGGCTCACCTTTGCGGTTGAGTATTTTTCTTCAGTCAACCTGTGAGAAACAAAATGGTGAATACAATGGTGGAAAAATTATACGAAATGAGAATTGGGAAGGACCTCATTGGAAGTAGTTTTTTTTTTTCCTGTGATGGCGCCGCCGGGTTTTACCTGCAATTTCTGACTCATCCGCAGGTCATTTTGCTCCGATTTGGTCATGGAAGTGTTCAAAATTGAATTTCGAACAAATAATTTTTTTTTACCTCTTTTGGCGGTCGGAGGTGGCTCCGGCGCGGTGGAGGGCGGCGGTCGGAGGTGGCTCCGGCGCGGTGGAGGGCGGCGGTCAGCTTCGTTCCTGACGACTGCTTCTTCTTCTCCAGCAAGGGGGGGGGGGGGGGGGAGAGAGAGCTGTAGT